GTCGGCTAACAATAGTCGTGATTCAAGGATCACTTCTATGCTCAAACATGTCTATAGTTAGCTTAATAGCTTTAGTCTACATCGCGTCTTTCCTGTTCCTATCTGTAATACCATGTCTATCACTTCTTAAGTCCTAGTCTCTTGTGTGCCAACCCACAATTGTCGTGGTTCTACATGTTTTGATTAGGCTCATTGAAGATGTCTCATCTTTGCTTTCGATTGTTCCTTTCTCGTCCCCTTGCGATCTCTTTTCCTAAAATTGAGGATATTAATTTGATTCTTTGACGAGTTTTTGTGTGGTGCTAAGAATAGCGAGACTCACTGACTATGCCGACTACGATTCCGTCGAAACGTCTGGGAAAGTACCACGTCCACGGTTCGACTTTGGACATGATCATGCAGACAATGGACTCCGGACAAGGTGCGTTTCTATCAGTTTTCCTACCAATATGACCAAGTTGCGAAAACAAGGTTAAATAACTTCTATACAAGAAAATGAGACTACGACCACACAAAAGGCGACACCATCTTGTTTTTCATATATTCGATTAAACTATTATTTGGTTTATCGCATTAAGTATTGTTTCGGGACTACCAGTAACTCAGTAATATAAGATGTATTCACACAATTTCGTATAAAATGATGAAGGACTGGTAGTAGAATTTTTCCACAATGATATGATATGAATTTCACATAGCCTTGCTTTCCCAAAAGTTGTTCTCATCCAGCGTGGACTGCAGTCTCGACCTCGCATCAGTCTCATCAACACCCTTAGCGGGAGTCGAACCGCGACAGTGCAGGATGGGAGCTTGACACGCTAACCACTCGGCTACACTGCCCTGTGAATCAAGGGTACTCTTCTTCTGAGATCGAGCTTCAAATCACTCATTCATGCACTTCTAAGCTATTCTTTTCTATTCTAATGTATTCTATTTTATTCTATGCAATTCTAAACTAAACTATACTATTATATTCTATTCTATGCTTTTCTAAGCTATTATATTCTATTCTATTCTATGCTTTTCTAAACTATACTAAACTATTCTATTCTATTCTAAACTATACTAAACTATTCTATTCTATTCTATTCTATTCTATTCTATTCTATTCTATTCTATTCTATTCTATTCTATT